CAGAGCTGACAGGTAAAATGTCGCTAACCTCGGAGCCACATTTTAAAATGGCGGGGACTGATACTAAATAATTTTTATCTTTATTATTTTTTAAGCTTATATAATCCTAAATAAAAAAAAATATTAAAATATTAAAAAATGTATATAGAATTATATTTTATAATGATATGAAATTTAATACTTGTTATTTTATTTTATTATTATTTTTTATATATATATATAATAATAATTCCTTATTTTCTTCTGTTTAAAAATAATGATACACTAGAAACTCATTTAAATAAGCTTAAAAATTTAAAATTATTTTAAAACTTTTCTACAATTTTAATACAATTATAAATAGAAAAATAACAGGATTTAATAAGGAGAAAGTCTAATAATCTATTCATCTTCGTTAAAAATTCTGTTTAATGTATAAAGAAGATTTGTAAAATAATAATAATAATAATTATTAATGTTTTATTCAAAAGTGAATAGCTAAAAGTATAAAGAATTGTTAAATTATTTTTCAAATATGTATACTAACTGGCAAATATTCAAAATAAAAATTGATTAGTATCCTCATCATGAAACAACTTTATGATAATTTGTTAGAGATTTTTATTCATGACATTTATTTAAATTTTTATACAGAAGAGATGTAGATTCAAGGACAAGATAAGAGAAAATAAAAGTAGATTGTTGGATATTTAAATACATTTAAATATTTTATAAAACTTAGTAACAAAATAGTCGAAGAGATATCTATGGTAATTAATTAATATCTATTTTAAGAATTTCTTAAGCAATTCCTCGAACGAAAACTGTATCGACACGTATCAAATATCAGATATAAGTGTAAACATCGATTTGCTTTAAACTTATATAGCTTAACAATGTGTACCATTAAGTTTCTTCTGTATGTATCTGTAATTGTAAAGTTTGATTCTATACTTAGTTTAAATATCAAGGCTCATTTTCCAACTTCAAAAGATCCTTTATATCCACGAATTCAGATGACTGAATCACTTCCAAATTTAAAAGAATTGACCGTCTGTACTTGGTTAAAACCTTACGTATTGGATGACTTGGATACTGTTTTATCTTACGCAACATTAAGCAGTCACAACCAGCTTTTAATCGCTTTAAGAACTAAGTTAAATATTACGAAAATTGAATTTCATATTGTAAAATTTGTAAACACCGTTACTTGTTCTCACGTAATTTGGAAAATTGGAAAATGGTATCATTTGTGTGTAAGTGTATTCACTCCTAGTGGAAGTGTTGAGTTTTATCTTAATGGGATTTTATGCAGAAAATTCGAAAATATTATCGAATTTAAAAATAAAGAAATTCCTACTGGTGGAATATTAATTATTGGACAAGAACAAGACGGTTTAAATTCAAAATTCGATAATAAACAATCTTGGTACGGTGATATCGCAGATCTTCACATCTGGAATGAGAAATTAAACGAAGAACAGATTCGAGAAGCAGGAATTTGTAAAGGAAAACGTAAACAAGGTAACGTCTTCTCTTGGATGAAAACAAAAATATCTGTTTTAGATAATGTCATTTTTTCAGAAACAGAACTTTGTAATCCTTAAAACACTTTCCGAAATTAAAAATGTATGTTATTGTGTACTTTTTATTATATCGAATTTAAGTTGAAAATAGCCAAAATAACACTAAAAAAACATTAAAAAAAAATATTTACCTATTTATTTCATTTAATTCATTATTATTTGGTGAAAATTCAACTATTTTATAGTTTCTTTTAGGATTAATTGGACCATCATTACTTGCTTTCCTTTTTGAACCACTTTTTTTTAAGTCACATTTGACTTCTTTACTAGGAGACGTTTTTATAACAACATCCAATTGAAATTTATTTATTTTCTTATTTCTTTTTAAAACTGATTTTTGCTGCTTCCACGTATTTGTAAGTTTCTCCATTCTTTAACTAATTTAATTCAAATTAAATTAATTTTATGTAAATAAATAAAATATATATTTTAATATAAAGGATTGTAAAAATAATATTAATTTTATTAACATTTAATTCTATAGAGCAATCTATTATAAACTTGACAACACAAATATAGTTCACTTACCATATAATTTATGTATCTGCATATGAATGATGATAAATCAACTCAAAATATATTTTTTCATTCATTATTTATACATTTCATCATGACTCAGTCTTTATAAAATNGTCGACCCCCCTATAACACTGTTAATTTTTCCGTTTTATATGAATTCCATGTTGTACGAGTCACTTAGATTTTACAAATACACAGCCCGGCACACATATTTGTAAAATCTAAGTGACTCGTACAACATGAAATTCATATAAAACGGAAAAATCAACAGTGTTATGGGGGGTCGACTGTACACTAGTTTTGGTAGAACGGTAGCGCTAAATCGAAGTGTAATTATATAATTTTATCATTTTTATGTATTAAATATTTACAAAAATATAATTACGACGATTACACGAAAGAAAAATAGTTAAATTATGAAAATAATATGATAATTAGAATTATAAATAATATATTTTATATCTAAAACATTTCTCGTATATCATACAACTATACATATTTAACAATGGTAGCTCATTTATCATTAATTATAAATATTCAAAAGGTTTATTATAATAATATAGAATAATAAAAAGATCGAAAATACAAAAAAAAAAATAAATCGAAAAATAATAAAATATATTTTAAATTAAATAATTAATATTCTAAACGAGAAAGGCCAAAGATAGAAAGGAGTCGTTATCGTATTTGCATAAATATTTAATACTAAATATTTATGATTCTGTTAAAGAGTATAAATTTAAAATATTTAATCTTATTTTTGCATTTTTTTTAAATTATAATATTCGAGTTTTTATCATATAAAATTCATGTAATTTTTTTTTTTTTTAATTTTAAGTAGAATTGAAGTCCCTTAAACAAGAATTATATAAGATCTAAACACAATTTTGAGTTTGTAAATCGATTATTTGATTATAATAACGTTGTTTACGATGTAAAATCGTAAATTTAATAAGGTTTATCTACGAGAAATACCTGTTTATAAGGCGCTTTACGAGGTTAACGTTATTTAGAAGATCGCTATATCGAAGTTTAACTTTATATGTATATATTAAACACGTATCAATAAGATACTTAAGAAAATAAAAATATTGCAATTATTTTTATAATTAAAAAGATACATATTAACATGCAAATAACAACGTATAGAATATATATTATGTAAATGCTGACTCTTCCAATTTGAACATCAATATGCTTCTCCATATCACAGAGCAATAAATTTTAAGATATTTATTCTGTTCTCCTTCTATTGCTTACATAAGTAACAATTAAATTAATATAAAATTAATATTGAAAGATACAAGGTTACGAATAGCATGAATATTTAATTACAAAAGTATTTTATTAAATATTTGGAAAAATAATTCAGAAAATAAAATGTTTCTTCTAATAATTTACATATTTTTAACATGCGATCATTGTTATCGATTAGTAAATTAATGAGTTTAAGAAATGTATTCAGTAGTTCAATAAAATTATTTAATTATACTTCACTCTTGACGAGATTACTAATTAGTCATTAATTAATTTATATTAAAAGTATATATTTAAATACAATTAATATAGTTTCAGATTAATTAATAAACTATTAATTAGTACTGAATCGAATTTTTCCACTTAAGCATCATCAGATATGGACAATAATGACACAACTATTAATTAAAATTATAGATTTTAAAAGCATTTATGCCAATAATTGTATTTAATTTCTATATATTTTAGAAGTTATTATTTGATTTAATTCATTTACAATAATAATCTAAAAATAAAATTAATTAATCAATGTTACTGTTTTAACGACACTTCTTCAATTATTATTTCGCAATGACTACTTTCAAAAACTATAAAATGACAGCGATCATCTTAACTTATACTAAATGCTTACAATAATGCAGCCTTTCAAGTACACTCTGTGGATTGTTTTACTTATAAAGTTCGATGTTATAACCAGTCTACACGTTAAAGCTCACTTTACTCCTTCTGATGGATCTTCTTTCCCACGAATTCGGATGGCCGAATTACTTACGAATCTGGAAGAATTAACGTTTTGTTCTTGGATTAAACCTTATTTTTTAAGTGATTTAAATTGTTTACTATCTTACGCAACGGTTTCCAACGATAACCAGCTTATCATTTCTTTAATAACGAAAGAAAATAATACAAAAATCGAAGTTAATTATGCAGGATCTATTTTACAAGTTCCTTGCTCTCATATCACTTGGAAAAATGGAGAATGGTATCATTTATGCTTGAATTTATTTTGTGTTAATGGAGCAATAGCATTTTATGTTAATGGAATTCATTGCGCGGAATGTAAAAGTCACGCTGATTTTGCTAAGAAATTAATCCCTTCTGGTGGTCAATTAGTAATTGGACAAGAACAGGATGGTGTAGATTCAAAGTACGATCCTAATCAAGGTTGGTATGGTGACATTGCTGATGTTCACATATGGAACGAAAGATTGACTCATAAACAAATACAAGAAGCGGGAAGATGCAATGGAGGACGAAAGGAAGGTAACGTTTTTGCTTGGATGAAAACGAAAATATTTGCAACAGATAATGTATTATTTTCCGAAACAGAAGTTTGTAATCCTTAATTATGTATATATAATTATATATTCTTGTTATTATTGCAGTGAAACTGTCCATAAATGATGTCCACATTAGAAGGAGAAGGGGATTATAACAAGTGGGACAAAGTCAGACAGGGGAGAGAGTTGGAGTTGAACTTCAATGGATTTCCGTTTTATTTCATTAAATTTTATACAGTTTATATATTTTATTATTCCTAAAGTTAGTAAAGATTTTGAGGGGGATTGAGCTTTGTTGAAGGTCTGAATAGGGGAGGGAGAATAAAAATTTAAAGAAAAATGCGGACGTAATTTATGGACAGCCCCTAATATACCGTACAATGCTTAAGAAAAAATGAAATATCAAAAGTTACTAATATTATTTGTATATTGTAATTCATTACAAATAAAATGATTTAAAATACTGTACAAGTTGAAAATTTATTTAAAAAAAATGCACTAACAATTATGAATAAAGCTAACAATAATTTCCGTAAACAATTAAAATATTATTTGTGATTTTTCTTTAACAATATGGCTTTGAAGGATGCTTTAAAATATTTGGAAGAGAGAGGTCACGTGATCGTAGTAAGAACATCGATACTAGTCTATTTTTCTACATTATTTTAATGACTAATTTATATTTCAGCACGAAGATTTTTATCGTCCAAATACTTCATCAGATTCTAGCTTTAATCCAACTTTTCAGCAGAGATTTCGTGCTGGTGAACTTCCTGTAAATCTTATTCCATACAGATCAGACGGTACTTTGCATTGGGTGGTGAGTGCAGTAAAATCTATCTTACCATGAAAATAGCATTATTTAAAATCATAAATTTCTTTATCTTAGACACCTTTAGAAAAGTTGGACACATTTTATTTTCTACCAATATTTTTCGACGGTTTAAAAGAGGTTCAGTCGCCATTCGATATAATTGCCAATGTTGCAAATGCTAACCGAAGCTGGAAAAAATGGAAATATTCCATTAGAAAATATCATGAATCCTTTATGCTGTCAGTAATTAAAGATATTTATGTAACAAACTAAATATAAATTAATAATATAGTAGCGATAGTTATTCATAGATGGCTGTACTGTTAACTCAATGCTGTATTTCTGTCGCAGAATTTAAAAAAAAAAAAAAAAAATGTTTCTTAATATTTATTTAAAGGTGGTCTATCCAGTAAAAATTGGGACGTTGTAATTAAATCTCTAATTGCTCTTCAGCATCTTTACAGCATCACGACTCTCTCCTTATATCCATTTTATCCACGATTCTTTCCAATTTTGTTACAACTGAAACGAAAATTAGGTAAATTTTACTCATTTATTCTTTAAAAGTTTACTTTAAAAATGATATATTTATATTAATTTAAGATGTTGAGCTTCGAAAGGAATGTACTGAATGCTTCAATCTTAAAAGAAAACTAGAAATAGAATATATTTTACATCGAACAATTGATATTCTGTACGGAAAACCTGGAGGATAAATAAGAAATGTTTCAAAGTTTGCATAAAAATTTAACAAGTTAAAAATACGTTACTGGAAAGTTAAAATATTCTACGAAAAAAAATTTCATATATAAAAAAAGAAAAAACTATATTTAAAATTTTAATTATTTCTAAAAACTTATTTAAGCTTTTAATATATTATTATTATTATTTGTAATTTAAATTATGTTGTTGTCGTTTTTAATTTTATAAAATTTTATTTGTTTTTTTTTTTTTTTTAATCCCTCCTCCTTTTGTTTAACTAATTGAATTTCTCTCAGATCAGTAAAATATTTAAACGAAGTAAAAACGTATTCCTTGATTAAATTCTTTCTCTTAACTAATCTAAAACTTAAATTCTTATATATAATTCTATGTTATTTCAGTGTATTTTTCTTTATACATCTGAGAATTTCTCTTTCTTTTTCCGCTTGATTTCAACTTCTAATACAAGAATCTCAATTCCCAAAAGCTGTTTTTCGGTCAACTGCTTTTATCCTTTTATTCTCGATTGTTTTCTATCCTTCTTTGCCATCATTGGACATCATCAATTCTTTAATGTCTCAATTACACTATTTACTAGTAAATTATTATTATTTTTTTTTTCTTGTACATTTATAAATATAATAAAAAAGGTTAATGACACTAAATAAAGTATCTAATTCACTTTCAATTGCTTATTTAGCCAACTAATAAACTTCTTATCAGATATATTGGAAGAGATATTTATTTGAACCTTTAACAGCCCATGGGTCAGCCTTAAGCTAACAATTTCATAGAAAAAATTTATAAGTAAGCTATTGAAGAGGGAAATTTTATAGAATACAATCTTGTTAGAGTATCTTTCAAAATTTGCTATCAGTAGATAGGTATAAATTTATTTTGAATTTTTTTTATAACATGAAATATAAGATGCCGGATATTAGGACGAAAGGAAGGTAACGTTTTTGCTTGGATGAAAANTTATATTTTAGAGGCGGATATTTCAACATCCATCATTTTGTCACCTTTACTGACAAAAATTTCTTCTTCCTTTCAAATGGGTGTTACTTTATTAAAAAAAAAATATACAGTATATATAAAAATAAAAAAAATTATAGTAAAGTTTATTACCTTAAAAGGTTATTCAACTTCAGAAGCTATTTATTTTGCTTCTGTAATTTTAGCAGGAGAAAAAAAAAAACATACTGTATATTGGTGTAATCAAAGACTAGTGTAATTTTCCAAGACGAAGACAACATATATTTGTATATTGATAGAATATATACCTTTCATAGATTTAAAAACAAAATGTGAAGGCCTATATAATTTTTTTTTTTTACATTATTTGGTAAAATAATTACATAAAGATAATTATAAAATGCTTCATTTTCATAAGCAGAAATGATGTTTAACTACTGTTTAAGTAGGTAAAAGAATTAAAGGTAGACATTAGGTAGTTGTATATTCATAAAACACTTAAGAAATTTTTGAGTTACTGATTTCTAGGAATGTCTTGTTGTCCTCAAACCAAACTTTTTAGTTTGTTGGTGAAGTCAGGGAAATTATTAATATTTTGTTTACTAAGCATAAGTGTATTTTTTACGAGACGTAACAATTAACACAGAAGCGTGAGAATTCTTTTTTCCAAGACAAGACTTCCTGCTTATCAGCTTCAATTTTCTAATCGCTTCACCCAAGATGCGAACTTGTTACAAACCTATTATTAACAGGGATGTCTAGACTCCGTCCAACTACTTCGATATATGACAGATGGTCATTCCAACAACGGGTAATATTTTGGGTAAGGAAGGCATTGACGTAAGCTTTATAAGCTCCTGTGGGCAGTTTGAAGAAATCGTTGCTTCGGGCGTTTACCTGTCAACGTGCTAATCATCTGCTGCAATGTGTTGCGAATTTTTTTTTTTTTTTTTCTAACCTTGCGCTTCTGTATTTTGAAAATTGTTAATCCGTAACTTCCTGTTTAGAGAGGGTTTTTCACACGTTTAAACTTTGCTACGTATCTATTAATTATAAAGCAATTACACTACTCCAACGGTCCTGGTGAACCTCGATGATGAACGGTGTTCGAACGCATCAAATAGGAAGTAGGTTAAATAATTACTTTCTAGCATGTATAAGCGGTCGATCAGTACTACGTCAATGATGTGCCTGCCACTGAACACAATCATCAGTGCAGCATCTAATATTCAGGATTCCATAATGAATCATCATCTGGAATAATCGAAATTGCTTAGTTAGTAATTAACTAGTGCAATACATGACAGAGCACTGTGCTTTATGGTGATTACAAAGGGAGTAATTGTACATTATGTTAATTATTACATCTACAATAATACTGTTATTTAATAGTTCTACTTACAATTGTATTCTATGCTAATAATTATATTTTCATTGTAATTTATTGTTTAGTAATCCTTCGAATTAATTATTCTACTGTAACTATAAACATTTCGGTAATTATGTAACTTAATTTTAAAATAAAACTATTATTATTTTATATTAGCTATAATAATAAGTCTGTTACATGATGTTAATATAGTATTTATTGGATTGCAATACAGCTCTAAATTAATAAACACATTTGCGTAATATCACTGAGAGTTTTCACTTTAAATTTTATTCAAATTAATAATAAAAAAATGTATATTTAAAGCTGCTTAATAGATAGAAAAAATGTATCCATTATATTTACAATAATACATTATCGTGCTAGATATACACATATTTTAAAACATCAGAAAATTTTCAAGAAATTCAAGTAAACATGTAAATACAGTAAACCTTAATTTTCCCACATAAATTTTCCCCAAAACCGCTTGCTAAGACCTCCCTCAAAACCACAAATTATTGTGTGCTCCAACCTCCTCCTGGTTACTATTCTTTGAACTTCGTGGGTGTCATACCCGGGGCCTTACTACGTAATATTGCGCAACTGAGTAAATCTGTTAATCGAAGACACCTGGAGAGCCATATTCTATAAGTTCCATCATCATCCGTCAACAGGCATCGAACAATTCTTATAAGATCTTTGATCGTTATTGACATGGCAGTAACGTTCCGGTTCATTCTTCCGAGGGAGGAATATTCAAAGAACATAAAGAATTCATTAAAAGTATTTCGACAATTTAGTGACATTATAAAATGTTATATTCTTTCTATCTTTGTTTCTTATCGGCCTTCATAAGTTTCTTCCGAACTTCACAATGAAATTATTTTTACCGAATTGCAGGAACTAAGCAGGTCAAATAGTTTCTTAATTGATGTTTAAAATAAACTTGACAACATAATTTGACAGGAAACGACAAATTAGTGGGTGGAAGAACCACTAAACTCATCGAAGCGGTAAATGTTTCTTGCTATCCCAAACAATAACGAAACGTTTTGTTCATAAAGACCCTTAAACTATTTCAAATCTGTTCCTTTCAATGTCTTCAGGCAAAAATTATTAATTTTGTCCTTATTCACGATTGCTATTTTGTCCATCAAGAGGCGTGATCCTTGATTATGGACGCTTTTCCAATCATCACGTTTCCGTGACAAGTGGTTGAAGTGTCGATTGAAAGCTAATTTTGTTCTTTGACATGCTCTAGAATCTATTTCTGAAGCTTCTTTTTCTTTAAATCAACATTTTTCTTCTTTAATATTTTATTATATTAATATCTTTAAAAAAAAAGAAATCTAAAATAGAGAAACTGATATTCTAAAGTTAATACATTATATTTCTTCTTATCGATTTTCTTTACAATTCAATTAATAAACTAAACAATTATTCATTGACAGAAATGATTCGTAAGTGTCGAGAGAAATTAAAAGATCGTTTTCAATGATAACAATTAATTAATAAATAATGTATTAGTTATCAATATTTGATCTTCAATTGGCAGAGTTTCTAAAATTTTAAAAATCATCTAAGCACGTTTTTTTTATAAATTGTTTTATGCATATAAACAAAAAATATAAATCGAACAATCTTATGTATTATTATAATTTCGATAGAAGTGTCGACGACAATTCCTTGACATCCTTTTCTCCTTGATAAAGAGATAACAAATTTAAATGGTAAATGTTCTAAGTCATAATAATAAAATGTAATATATTTTTATTTAATTAATGATGTCATTGAAATCTTCTTATTGTTAAATAAAAAAAAAATAATCTAATTTACATTATTATTCTTATACAATTGTTTATCAAGTAGTGTCGGTATCATTGTAACTCCACGTTATTTAGCTACTGATAGCAATGATTTGCAGTAGGTTCTCAGCAGGAGTATGAGCTAAATGCGATTTGGTGACATTGTCCTTTTGTACTTCACACTTCTGATGGATGATCTGTGACAAATTGAAACTTCCCATCTAGCAATTCTGGTTTTTATTGCCTCAAAAACATTCGAGAGAAGACAGTGAGAGAAAAGAGAATAGCAATTCTAAATGTGAAGATAGTCTTATAAATCCAGTTTTAATGGCCTAAACTAGTTTAGCTTCTATTATTATCAAATTGAACAGGTTTTTTTTTTTTTATTTTTATAACCCAAAAATAAGTTAAACTCAGATAAGAACCAATATCGAATCGTTCATTATATTTATATATAATTGTAATAACGATACATTTCTATTATAAATCATATATAATATAAGAAATAATTGACGATTTTAAAACTGTATACAAGGAAATATACGTTAATAAATTTTTATATTTCTTATATTTATTTAAATTGCGTGTTTATAGTAATATTAATTTAAATACATATATTCTTATAATTTTATCAATTAAATAAGTAGCCTAAAGAACAGCTGTTAACTTTATATGTATCTAAAAAAAAAGCTTTAATATATAGTACAGTACATTAATATTCATTATGAAATATTGACATGTTATACAGTCGCGTGCCATTAACAAAGGAATGATTTTCACGGTTGATTTGTTATATAATATCAACAGATTCATCACACTATTAAGAAGAAAAAAAAACTATATTTTCTGTTCTATTTTCTATTTAAATGCTTATCTATCGATGAAAAAAAAAAAAATAAATTTTCCCTTTTAAATATCATTTTTTTAATAAATTATTAATTATATTTTAATCTAAAATAAATAAATATATAGGATTTAGGATTTTTTTTCTAAATTTAGGTCATTAAAAAATAAATTTCGATAAAGAAGATAAATTTTTTGGCTTATTTCCAATTGTTTTCTAACAGATGGTAACATGATGCAAGAACTAGTCGCCTTTGATGATATATACAGTACTGCTACTGTAATATTCCAGGAAATTTTTAAATGAAAATTAAAATTTCCGTTAAATTACTGCAGGTGGTAAAGTAAATTTCTTTTCTTTTCTTTTTTTTAAACTGATATATATATAAATTTTTAAACGAATAAGTGCATTAAAAGGGGGTAAAAAAAAAGTGACTATCGTAATGAAATCTTTTTTTTTCTTGTTTTATCCAAATGACAAGTTCTAGACTTAAATTTATTATATGATAGAGGAAGAGAGAGAGATAAGAGTCCCATATATATGACTTATTAATATTATTTTATGGCCATTTATTTAAAAAAATGTCTATTTTTGAAAACAAAAATGTTTAAGGTTATCTAAATTCTATAAGATTTCATCTCTGTGACGTCGGAATATTAATAAAACAGAAGAATATCGAATGTTTCAATGATAAGACAAGTAGTGTTGTTGCCTTGGGTTCTTATTTATATTCTGAAAAGACTTTCTACGAAATTTTTTCCTATATAAAGGTTAAAAAGACATTTTTATAATATTTAATATTAATATATTTATATATATATTTTTTTTTATAATTTAAAAGGGGGATAAGTGGTATTGATCTTTGCTCCAAGTGTAATTGTCGTTTACAGATAGAATTACTAAACAGGATACAGAAGGATACACTATTTTTTTTTTTGGATGTTCTTCCGGCTAAATTTCATTAAAATTCTATCGGATGAAATAATAGCGAAAATCCATATTCTCGAGTAGATACTTTTACAAAAGAAGTGAAATAATAGTCTCATGCTGTCCAGTCGTGTTAAGCCTAACAACAGTAGGTAGATGGACATATTTGGCCCTGGGGCAGCGGAGGAGAGAGAGAGATGGTTTCAGTGTACTGGGAGAACAAATTGGCTCTGGAAATTTTAATGGCTTGTTCCGATTAAAACCGGCTTTGACGATTACAGGGATCCTGTCAGGTGGAAGTTTTCAATCAGTACATAAGACCACCTTTGCTGTGATCACAGACAGTATCTTATCTTATAAAACGTTTTCTAATAATTTTATTTCTTTAATTCTAATCTTTTTAATTAAAATTCGAATTCAATATTTATACAATATACTTTACATAAAGGTAAAGAATATGAGATTTTTTTTTACTGTTAAATTGATCCAATTCGATCCACATCTTTATTTTAAACGTCCAATTTAATATTAAAATAAGTTTTTTTACAACTTAAATTTCACTTTTATAGTTAATTTTCGTGAATTTTTAATGCAAAAGATTCTTCAATTATTAATTTTTTTTTAAATCTATGATTTAATTTTTCAAGTTTATTATTAAATTTTTCTACGAAATTTTATTCGGGATTTTTTCTTCACTTGATTATTTCGTGTAAATTTAATTTTTCTTCTTCTTCTTCTTCTTTTTTTACTTAATATTTTATACTAAAAAATAAAAATCACACTTTAAAGTTTTTAAAATTTGATTTTCTCTGAAATTTTAATATTATTTATTTCGAGTAATGTAATTTGTATAGTATAATTCTATCAAGTTCTTCTTCTAGTAAATCAATGATTTATAGTGTCAGTTTAGATAGATTAAAAACATAGAAATTTCTGTTGTTTTTATAGAATAATATACAAATTAAATCCATATATATATATTAAAAAAAATAGATGTATCATAATGTTAAAATAAGTATCAATAGAAATATAGGATAATAAAAGTCAGCTTTAGGGTGAAACTCAGCTAAGTGACTGGGGGTATTATTTAGGGGGAGGATTTACAGATCCCCTCTCTCAAATAACCACACGGAGGCGTCAAAAGTCTCCTCTATAATTACGATCTCCTATTTACGCATGCTCAAAAATACTTTGAAGTGATAACAATCGAAGTATACAATAGAAAAAAATATATATTTTTTAAAAATTTTTAATTCGCTGGTGGTCTTGGAAATTGTTTAAAGTCAACCCCTAACCCTTCCTTATGTATATATATAGGCCTATATTATAATTTCCTTTAGTTAATCTAGACTAATTCTTTTAAGTTAAACACTGAAGAATGTAGGAAAATAAATATATCTATCGGATATTCCGGTCTTCTATTTTGTCCAATGTCGCCATTGACAAATTGCAGTATAAGTTAAAGCTTGATTTATGCCTTGTCCAATCGCTTCCATCATAAAAGACAAGTTGAGTAATGTGAAATTTAATTGAGCAAATTTTTTTTTTCTGTATCTCTATCCTACTTTAGAATTATATTGATAATAATTTTTATCCTATAAATCATAATATTAAATATTTGACCTATATATTAAATAAATAATTATATTAATATAAATTGATTTTATTTTTATCGATATTCTTATGATAATTAGATATGTACAAAATGATTCCTTTGTAAGGTTTGTATGTATTTTTTAAGGGGTATTTATCAAATTATTTTGTGATGGAATTTACAATAGTTCCATTAGAATGCTACACTTAACTTTTATTCGCATTAACGATACGTGACAAGGTTTAAAAATCAAACTTTAAAAAGGTAGAACTACGTATTCTGGCTTCAAAATTGGTCTGGATATAAATCGAATTGATGGTATTTTTATAAATTTAACCGGTTTTTCCGTGTTATTTTTTTATGGATTTTTTTATATTTTTTTTTTTTTTGATGAGACCATTGCGTGCACCTATTGAATCACGTGATTGCACCCAGTGATCGACATTTTAATTACCTAGAATCGAGAGGGAAGATGAATCGCTCCAAAGGGAAATCACCTGGTGTGAAGGTGTCTCAAAGATAATCTCATAAATTGCAAGATCTGTAAGATTTATCTTAAAAAAAATAATAATAATCGAATTTTGATCGGATTTAATAAAGATAATTATGAAGATTTTCTTTATTGATCAATAAGAATTTTAATTTTTTTTTTTTTAACACAGTAAAGGTTATTTCTATCTCTGTTAGACCACCCAAAATTCTTGGGACGCGTGGCCTGCCTTCCAAATTGATGGGTAGAAATAATTTCCTTGGACAGAAATTAGTATTACTCTATGCTACCAGGTAGCTAAATGGTCCAAGACAGTAGTTGTAAAGTCGGCAAAAGAGACATCAAGTTAAAGGGAACCAAGAAGGGGTTGTCGGCAACTTGTACTTGATTATAGAGAAACCGGATGAAGGTCGATAATTATCGGTTGTGAATCCTGAGCATTAAGTAACTCTGCTATAATTTCTTGCATCCATGTTATATTTTACTCATTTTTAATGAAAATTCATAAATAATTCTTATGCAGTACGTTAAAAAAAAAAGTAGTCTTTAAACCCAGATCATAAACAACCGATATTGAATATATATATATATATATATATTGTCGTTTACAGATAGAATTACTAAACAGGATACAGAAGGATACACTATTTTTTTTTTTGGATGTTCTTCCGGCTAAATTTCATTAAAATTCTATCGGATGAAATAATAGCGAAAATCCATATTCTCGAGTAGATACTTTTACAAAAGAAGTGAAATAATAGTCTCATGCTGTCCAGTCGTGTTAAGCCTAACAACAGTAGGTAGATGGACATATTTGGCCCTGGGGCAGCGGAGGAGAGAGAGAGATGGTTTCAGTGTACTGGGAGAACAAATTGGCTCTGGAAATTTTAATGGCTTGTTCCGATTAAAACCGGCTTTGACGATTACAGGGATCCTGTCAGGTGGAAGTTTTCAATCAGTACATAAGACCACCTTTGCTGTGATCACAGACAGTATCTTATCTTATAAAACGTTTTCTAATAATTTTATTTCTTTAATTCTAATCTTTTTAATTAAAATTCGAATTCAATATTTATACAATATACTTTACATAAAGGTAAAGAATATGAGATTTTTTTTTACTGTTAAATTGATCCAATTCGATCCACATCTTTATTTTAAACGTCCAATTTAATATTAAAATAAGTTTTTTTACNATATATATATATATATATATATATATATATATAGCCTATTAATTAATTCAAAAACATACGATAAACAACCAGAAAATTATTTCTTTCGATAACTTCCTTATTCGATACGGCATTTTTATTTCCAGATGGAATGTTTAATTTATATTGATAAAGGGAAATATAAATATATATTTAGCTTTCGGCATTTTAATGTTATTAACACGATAAAGTTTGTTAATAATCAGAAGGTTTTAGAGTAAAACATTTATGAAAAGTAAGCGCCCTAGCATAGATTTCATCGAGGCGGAAAGTTGGGAGGTTGGTTGCTGGTTATCGCTTGTCCTGATCTTAATCAAACGACATAATCCGAATAAAACGCTGATGATAGAAGTTAGGGCCAAAGTAGTTGTCGTTGAGTCAATAATTCATCCTAATTTAGTTCGCAGCTGCGCTATTAGTCTACTAGATAATCAACTATAGTGAATTTTACTATCCGTTAACGTTCGTTAATTTTATAACTTTACGAATTAATCACATATAAATCGAATTATAAATTCAACTCTTAATATAGGCCTATATATTTTTTAAATTAAAGTCGTTACGTCTTTAATACGATTTAATACGATTTAATTCAATGCGATCATTTAATAATAAATCACAAGTTTAAATTTAATGCGAAAAAACTTGTAAGAAAACTTGCTCCTAATTTGTAATTTAACATTAAAGGAAGAAAGAGAATATATTTAAAAAACTTGCAATGTGTTCATTAATTGTAATATATCCGGAGAGTTAAAAAAAACACGTTCTAAAACTGCAATTAATACAAAAACTTGAAATATAAAGCAAAGAACATTGTTACGTAAAACAAAAAGTTGTTCAGAACACGATCGTCGATGTAAATTACAAGGAAATTTGTCATCATAATTTATAAGATTTTAAATTAAATTGTACGTAAATTCATTTATTCGTATTAATATATATATATATATATATTTCATTGCATGACTAATTAGTCGATGCTTTCTACTGTTATCAGTACAGAATCATGAACTGGAGTACGTCATGTTGTATGAGGTAGTACAACAGCTCGGGGGTAAGAGTTAGACCTGGAGGAATATCGTCTGATACGCCCGGATGGATCAGACGAAGTGACGGCGTCTGGTTGACCACAGTCCGGTCATGGTCCAGCAACCTTCTACCAGCTGTCTGTTTGCTAATTCGAACAGTTCGCTTAGCAGAAACACGTGAGTTCAAATTCATTCAGTCTGAAGTTTCACTTTCCACTAGCTTCAAACCGAATGATAGATCACCTTTCTTTCATGCCATAAAAGACTTTCTCTGTTCAATGATCTCACAGAATTTTCATTTTAAAAGGGCTTCGTCAAACGTAATCGTTTCATTTTTCAAACGATTAAATCATATTAATTGAAATTAATAATAATAAAATTATATGTAATTATAGTAATGAATTGTGCACATTGTTAATAAAAATTGTGTAAAATTTTCCTTTGAAAAATATGAAAAATAATTATATTGTCTAAAAGGCAAAAGGGGAGGAAGTCAAGGGGACAAGGACCAACTCTACACTGGTCTAATTATTTAATGACAGACCACAAACAAATTAGGTAGGCCGCATAGTGACCCTTATATTTTCAACTTCGAGGAAAAAAAAAAAAAAAATTTCGTCCACGTAGGTCCCATCTTTAATATAATTAAAATTATTAATATTCTTATTTGTTTCCATTATTACATACGCGCCTACTTATGACGATAACGATATTTTTAATTATTAAAAAAATATCAAACCCTAAAAATTAAAAATTGTCCTTAATTTATAAAATTTTATTAATAAAAAAAATCAATTTATAAATTTTATTTTAAAATATTTATATGTTTTTTACTTTTACTATAGATAAATTACGTAAGAGTAAAATAAAAAAAATAGACCCAAAAATACCTATAAATATATATAAAAAAATTAACATTTATTTCATGGCACATTTTAATTTTCTCCTGCAGAAATATCGAGCCGCTCGTTATACTATATACAAGGATAAAAATATACAATCTGAGCAAAGAATCTCTCAGTATGAGCAAAATAAACAAACATTCCGGAATAAGAGATCTTTCGTAATGTTCGTAAAATAGTCCTTAAGTTCGGAGATCAACTTTATGAGCAAAATATTCTTCAAAACTGGCATTTTGTTGAGCATTCCAATTTGTGCGCAGATCCACCAAGTTTAAATTTACAAGGTCTATCTAACTATGTTTAAGGTATTACTGACCTTTTTTTAATTAATGATAATGACGTATCGATAAAAGGAACATAATCAATGCTGTTATGAACTAATCTCTGTCCAATAATTCACTAAGAGCAGTTATATAACTCTGGGCCATCTGTAGGGTTTCGTATTTAGACAGCTTCCTGTCGTTAGTGAGCGACGGTACAACTTCCCTTAAACGATCGAAAGCAACATTTAGACTGAGCATCCTTCTTCTTTCTCTTGCATTAGCTGCGAGTCTGCGTTTCTTCGCTATTATTGCCGAAGGTCTGTTCCTGACTTGTTTACCTGTATGAGTAGTCTCGCTGTCAGAAAGGCTCCGAGTTACGCACCTTTGATTCTCCTGCCTATCTAGATCCACTACATCCTTGGAATTAACGGGAGTAAAGTAACAACTTATAGGACTACTCGGACATGGTTCACTCAATGGACTTGGTACCTGATAACCCGGAGAATCTCCTCCTGGATAATGCGAAAGAAGCGTAAAGGAAGCCGCAAAACTTGCTGGTTCCTCCATTGGAGTTCAAAAAAAAAACGAGGTCACTCCGGCATCAGAAACTATACTCGCCACACCTTTAACAGTACAATTCGGCCCTGACGTGCTGTTATATAGCCCTGTCGCAGATGACCGCCGGACTAGTAGTGGAACCAATGGCTGTATTTTGCCTCAGGGTTTCGTGGCTCGGTCCCAATGGTGAGTGTGGAACTTCGCGTGACTTTTTACTTGCTACTGGGATATAATAAATTTGAGCCGAGAAATATTCCAATTTGATATATCAAAATAAAAAATGTTGAGCTATTATGCAATATTCATTCGTAGATAGGTCCATCACATGACTTTTCGAAGGAGCCAACCATTTATTTTATTTTTTTTTCAGACCTTCAAAAACATTCATAAATCTCAATCACATCTGATTTCTACTTTAATTACAATATTAATAAAAATAATCATATAAAATTTAATTTCATAACTATTCAAACTGCATACATTCCCTAACTAATTTCATATTCATTTCTTACATATAATAATATCTTTATTCTTTAAAAACAATATTAAAAATACTACTCTTACACTTAAAAAAAAAATTAATAATAATAGACCTAAATCATAAATATTTTACACATTATTTAATTATTATAATATATAATTATTTTATTATAAACTTTATAAAATATCTTATTTAATAGATAGAAATATATAATTTACTCTTTTAATTATTAAATTTTTAATTAATTAAATAATATAAAATTACCTTTCGATTAATGTATCTTTAGGGCGAAAATTAGTTCAATAGATAGTAGATAGATGGCAGTGAGTCTCTACCCCCGGTAGATTTTTCTTCAGTAAAAATTGACCTCCTATCAATGCAAATTTAATACTTAAATATGTTAATTCATGTAAATTAATTAGGTTTATATTTAATAGCTTTTTAAATCTTCCATTAACATAATCTACAATTAAATAATTATTTAGTAATTCAGTAATTGATTTTTTTTCTTTTTAATATTATTACAATTATGAATTTTATTATTTTTTTTCGGAATTTGACAATATCCATGTTCTTCTAATGGGAAAAAGTAAATCATATTAGAGACGATTTTATCAAAGAAATTGCATAAATTATCTATGGAATATTATAGCAAGTCAGGCCAACTTTACTGACTGCAATGTTGTCGAAGGACACGCCGTAGGCGCCAGATAGATTTAGGTGACGGCAAATAATTTGAAAATTGGGATAGCTCTCCACTGTCAACAGACATCCAAACATCTGTTCCCGCCGTGAGATAACTGAGATGCAGCCTGTTATATATATATAAAAAACAATATTAAGAAACGAAAAACTCAACAGTTAATTAACTTTCAATTTTTTTAAGCTTTCATTTTTCCTCTTCTCTAAATTTTATTGACATTTATTTTCATATTCTACTCTTAAAATTTCTTTGAAAATGTTTTGTTTCTTCACACGTTAAGTAGTTAAAAATATATAGGCTAAGTACAGTATATCTTTAGATAAAATACTTTTAGTAAAAGAATATATATATACATAAGTAGTACAATTTGTCATTGTTACTTTAATTGCGGTGTATGCTAATTTCATACAACCTATTTTTGAATAAAATAGGTATAATGAAACGAGTTTAGTTCGGTAAAATGAAAGTGTAGTCCTATTTACATATCACTTCACGTATGCCCTTGAACAATTAAATTTGGATTTTTTTTTTCCTCCTTTAAAGAAATTTTAATCGCCTTTCTAAATCCCCTTTAATTTATTAATAAGAAAACAGGTTTAATTATGTTAATTATGTTTTACAAAGAATGTAGATTATATTTTATTACAGTGTTATATTATTTTTTTATTTAATAATAGAAAATATTTATTTCATATATTATGTATTTAATTATAAATTTCTGATTTTAGTGGGTCTCATTTACTCTCTTTTAGGAAATGAAAATTGAGTTTGATGGTAGTACAGGAAGCGGGTTTGGTTGCATTGTATATGTGAAGGAGGAATGGGTGTCCAGTCGGGATAGATCTTATCTCTATGATCTATGCGACCGACCACACTACCTGTGTTGCATGTCAATTGGCCTGCATCATGGCCTCATCTTCACCTTATAATCTGACAAGGATTTATGATGCAGATCGAAAAGAACAGTATCACAGGTTGAATAAATGTGAGATTGTACTAAATTTGAAACTATCTAACGATAGTAATATCTACCTTTTTTTTTTTTAATCTAAAACATCTCTTTAATTTGTTAAGTAATTAGATAGTTAATAAATAATAATTTGAATAATATTCTGAATAAATTAAAAGTTAAATAGGAATTAAATTAAATTTAAAAAGATACAATAGACAAGACACTTAAGCTTGTTTCGTATAGAAAGAAAATTACATTACGTGCATTGCATTGTAATTTCTTACCTAGGGCTTATAATAATAATAGAATGCTTTATATAAAATAAAAAAAGAATGAAAGTTTGAGAAAATGGCCACGCTTTGTGAATTACATTAACAATTTTTATGAACAAGATAAAGATCTCATCAACACATCTACAAAAGATGTTTAACTTCGGATCTTCGCAGTTATTTATGTTACATTTTTTATGGTAAACAATATATATTAAATTTTATATATACTGTTCGCTAGAAATAAGTATTTTTAAGCTGTTAAAACATTTGTTTGTATCTTTTTATTGAATTAATGATAAGCTTAGGCGAAAAAACAAATAAATTATTTATCTGAGATAATGTTAAATTCTTTACTTTATTTTTTAACGGTAAATCTTTATCAGCGTTAATATTGTTATCACAAAATTCAATGTACTTAGTGAAGTTATTAAGGAAATTGACTTTTTTCCAGTTTTTCTTGTTATTTCTCCATATGTCGAAAAGAAACCCTTAAGGCTTATCTTGACCAAAACACCCTTTATTATCGAAATTATAACAGTGAAGTCCTGTTAGGTGACAGTTATATATATATTTTTTTTTATGTGAAAAGTTGACGGTATTTAGTTGAAAAAACATGACAATATAAGATGAAACTGTCAAATTCACAAAATTAAATTTTTTATAACATTACAAATCACTATATCATTGCATTATTTCTAATATTAGGCTCTTCTGACATCTATATTATAGGATATCAATTGAATCAGACGTTTAAAGTTAGACAATGGATTTCACCTTCTTTTTTGAAATGTTTTTAGTCTTTTTTTTATAACATTTAAAGATTGGTTCTGTGCTATTTTACGTGGAAAAAACGTAAAGTTATGATGTTCATTATATAAAATTATTACTTTTATCTATTAATTTATTTAAAGCCAATAGATATACAATCTTACTGATAGTTTGATATTAATTTAAAGATTAAACAATGAATTTTCGACACTCAATACATCACTAATCCATCATATAAGACTAGTTTCTTATCAGTTATCAAACTCGTCTACAGGATTATTAATTCAGGTTAAATTGATAAAATACTTCATTGTATAATTAAATTTAAATTACGTATTAAATTGTACTATAATTTGTTATATTATCTCCTACTTTATTTAATAATCTTTCCTTACTTAATTCTTATCACGTTAAATAATAGGTTACTGTTCTATTCGTAGATAAAAATTCTCTATTAATTTATCGATTTTAAAATTAATATATGTAAAATTAATATAACTTTTATGTAACTTAATTAATATTAAGAAAATAACCCCTTACAGAAGCCAATAAAACTGTGCATATTCCTATAGAAAATATAAGTATGTGAACTATTTTAATTACTATAAACATTTAATCTGAATTCACAACTATATCTAAAAAATAAACAGGAAAATTTCTTCTCCAACAAAATGAATTAGTATTATATACTTTCCTACTGCTGTACTGCATTCATTTTCCATTGTAGGTATTTATACTGTACTTTTAAACTTAAATAAACGTCGGCCATTTTTAATCCAATATCCCGCATACTCTAACAGTGCGTATACCTCCTGTTGGGAAACACTGCTATTTCGTATATTTTTATTATTTATACAGCACGAAAAGGATAGATTTAAAACAATTGTAAATGTCCGACCTCACTCGAGATATGCCTCTTCCTTATAATCTCTAATCTCTTAAATACGACTTATAATCTCTAAAAATAATACATTAATACTTAACGTGTAGAAATATTTCTTTCAAAATTTCTGGTCAATAGAATCAACAATATAGGTGAACACACGAACAGGTACAGTCGACCCCTCTATAACACTGTTGATTTTTCCGTTTTATATGAATTCCATGTTGTACGAGTCACTTAGATTTTACAAATACATGAGCCGTTCACAGTCCGGCACACGTATTTGTAAAAGCTAAGTGACTCGTACAACATGGAATTCATATAAAACGGAAAAATCAANTGCATTCATTTTCCATTGTAGGTATTTATACTGTACTTTTAAACTTAAATAAACGTCGGCCATTTTTAATCCAATATCCCGCATACTCTAACAGTGCGTATACCTCCTGTTGGGAAACACTGCTATTTCGTATATTTTTATTATTTATACAGCACGAAAAGGATAGATTTAAAACAATTGTAAATGTCCGACCTCACTCGAGATATGCCTCTTCCTTATAATCTCTAATCTCTTAAATACGACTTATAATCTCTAAAAATAATACATTAATACTTAACGTGTAGAAATATTTCTTTCAAAATTTCTGGTCAATAGAATCAACAATATAGGTGAACACACGAACAGGTACAGTCGACCCCTCTATAACACTGTTGATTTTTCCGTTTTATATGAATTCCATGTTGTACGAGTCACTTAGATTTTACAAATACATGAGCCGTTCACAGTCCGGCACACGTATTTGTAAAAGCTAAGTGACTCGTACAACATGGAATTCATATAAAACGGAAAAATCAAAATTGTTATAGGGGGTCGACTGTATATATAGAATTTTGTTTCTCCTTTTTTTCTGACTTTTTTGGGATTATGGAACCTTAAAGAATCGAGAAATGCAAAAAGCCCGAAGGGTTAAAACATTTGAACGATTACAATACTTTCTTTCTTTTCTATAACAGCCGGAAAAGTAAAATTGACGAGTAAAATGCAGGATATACGTCTGATATTCCATAATATATACTTTTATTATTCATATATATAACATTACTTTATTAGTATTGTATTATTTGTAGCAATGTAATGAATTCTGAAAAGTTTTTGTTAACGTAAATAGGCCAATTTTGAAATCTCGAACAATTAATTCTATATTATTTTCTGATTTAGCATATTCCATTTGAAATGAACGTACAATATATTAATTAAAATTAATAGAACACACCCAAATTCACGTCAAAAAATTTTCTATAACTTCCTGAAGCGATGAGAAATCGTCACACCCCACCCAAACCGACGTCATTTTGATGGTTTTTTTTTATGATTCAATTAAATAAATTCCATCAAATGCATCAATATGCTACAGTTGAATCATTCGTACTTTATGAACTGCAATTGAAATAAAGTTTAGCTGCATTTATTTAAGATTTTTTATATAAATAAATTCTACCTTGACACTTTACCTTGCCTAAGGAACAAACCTGGAAATTCGTAGAATTATATAAGGTCACTTATTAACGTCTTAACATAAGGTAGACAAAGGTAGGGGGGAACTTGTTCAAAATCGTGTCCATAGATTCATGTTTAATATGCTAAAGATAATGCTATATAATGGACATCTTTCAATAAAAATTTGATTTTAATTTTTAAATTTTTTTTTTCCTTCAACGTAAATAAGAATAAATAATATATTAATTTAATGTTACGTTGCGAGCGTATGTTAATTTTTAAAGATATTTGCATAATATATATCGAAAAAAATTAGTTTTAAAAATAAGTTACGACTAGAGTCATCAAAAATATATTTTTATGAAGGGTAATCTGAATTTTTAACGATAATTTAATTATATAGTTGTAGAAAATAATAAAAAATTTCTCGTTAAACTTCACTCTTATGCTTTTTCAATGTAATAAATTTCACAACATTACAATAAATATGATTTCTAATATGTAATTTTCATAAGTTTATCCAAACGCAACGCATTGGAAATACCAGTCGACCCCCTATAACACTGTTGATTATTCCGTTTTATATGAATTCCATGTTGTACGAGTCACTTAGATTTTACAAATACGTAAGCCGTTCACAGCCTGGCACACGTATTTGTAAAATCTAAGTGACTCGTACAACATGGAATTCATATAACACGGAATTATCAACAGTGTTATAGGGAGGTCGACTGGTATTAATAACAATATCGAGTTATATGCTATATTTACTGTAATATTAACCATTCTCGTATTCGCAATCAAAGATCAGCTAGAAGTTAACCAATAAGCATTCACGTACTAAAAGTAAAGTGAATGTTAATTGGATAACTTCTAACTCTTAATCCTTTATTTGTGTGTGTTAATTATAATCTTAATGTATCCTTTTCAAATTCTCAAAAACATCATTTTAATAATCAATAAATAGACGTCATTTAAAAAAAAGAACAAAGAACAATAAAAAGTATTGTATGGAAAAATTCAGAGAGGAAAAGTAAAAACTTTCATCAAGACCATGAATGACCTTCTGATCGATATTTTCAATGCCATTCTATCTCCCTCCACGTCTTTAGGCGAAAATATTGAGACGTTGTGGATCTGAAACGTGGCCAAGACACTTCATCCTTTCTCTGATCGCTGGCCAAAAACTGTCATTTATATGTTGTATCGAAGGACGTCAGCCACGTGCCATGTGACCTTGTTTGGCGCGTGCTGTCGATTAAAAGTAGATCAGCCGATGAATTTTTAATCATTTACATCGCGTGTTTTCATCCCGAATTCATGCTGTTGCAGCTGTTAACTTAACTATATCTATATCTATTACACCATTAGTTCTAATTACCGTAAAAGAAAGATTAGTATACTGACCGCCGTGTTTACTTTTTTATAATTTTTATTACAATAATAATAATAAAAAAAAATGTATGAAATATAAGGATCATTTTTCCTTCTTACGTTATTGAATTCATTCCAAAAAAAAAGAAAAAAAAATCCTGAAACGTTTAAGTGAAATCGTATCCTAAGTTCATAGAGTAATATTTTGAAAGAAGGGGCGTAGTCTAACGTGTCCTAATTTTAAATCTCTTGGGATTGAAAGTGTAACGATTTCTAAACAAGGAAAAGATAAAGTGATTCGTTCCACATATTTCTTTAAAATCCTTTTTAGCGTGACCCTTCCACCTACAATTATCCCGTATTGAACTCACGTTTATCACATTTGACCATTCTATGTTTTTATTATTTCCTTCATCTGTCGAGCATAATGAAGAAGATTTTTGTTTAATTTTAATATCACGCCCCCATTATTAAAAGATTATTGATGATTTTACTTAAAATTTTGTTTTAAATAAAATTCGTATAAGTATACAAAGTTAAAATCAAATCTTAGATAATAATTTACATCCCAAAATACAAGTCGATCCCCCTATAACACTGTTGATTTTTCCGTTTTATATGAATTCCATGTTATACGAGTCACTTAGATTTTACAAATACGTGTGCCGGGCTGTGAACAGCTCACGTATTTATAAAATTTAAG